CACGAAAAAAACTCTTCCGTTTAAAATGTAAACTGTATTTCTTGATTTATTTGTGGCAAAGCCGCCTATATGAAAATATATAAGATTTTATAATCTAAATAGTGAAACATGATCAAAATGCAAAGTACTGGCAGTCGAGCCACGTAGTTGAGGAGTAGCCACACTATTGCGTGTTTACACCGTCTTGTGTAACCCACACCCTCATATGGTCACACCATCATGTGTAACACACCTCTTCATACCAGGATACGTGTAATCCAGTTACAGTTTGAAGATCACGGCAAAGTCTGGCTTGTCCCCAACGAGCTAGACATGAATCAGGGAACCCAGCGTGACCGCCTGCGATAGCAAAAGTCACGATCCCAGCCAATTAGATCATGTCCTGACCAAGTCTTTAAACCATCAGAGCTAATTCGTCGCGTTAAGGTACCCATGTATGCCTATACGCGTGGGAAACCAAAAGAAAAAGAAGCATCAGATAGTTTGTCGCGAGCTCTTTCGATTCACACTATGCTCAGGTCTACTTTGAAGACTTTATGATCACATAGGTCATAAATTCTTCGGAGTACACCTGAGCTTACAGAAGCAGTGGTAGGGAAGACTTTGGCCGGCCTGGAGATTATACCTTTATTACTAAAAGCTGGTGAGAGTATCGTCAAGGTCTGTACTAAGTTCATGGATGGGTAAGAAAAAGCGCCGTCTCACCCTTTTCATAGATTGGCAAGTCATTTATGGCGAAGCAGACGGCGAACTAGAGTGCTGTTAGATGCGACGACTAAAGGCGGTGCAAACGTAAGTGTAAGAACCCATCAATTCCATTTTCTGTTATTGATTGCTTTGCTCGTTATAATATAGGAATTCGACTAAGTACAAGAAAGTTGTTTTCCACTCACTACGGAATGTAACCCTGATATACTTCTAAAAAAATAGATGAGATTGCGCAAGGACACAAGCGGTAACGACGCCTGGGCAATACTGCTGATGTGGCGCCTCAAACTAATTTGATTTATTCGAATGAGCGTGCTCGTTTCACGTGCAAGATCCTGGTAATAGCTCCGGTATATCCACCGGCAGATTGAACATTTCACGCAAGCGGCTCGCTTTTTTATTGAGCGTCGGCAAAGGACGTTACTCCCGTAGCTGCGCTCTCAGTTATGGCGGCATGTCGACCCTCCCCGACAGTTGTGGCGTGCGTCCAAATTTGAAAAGATCAGATCCCGACAGGGCGCTTATAGCTAACCCACTACACTGCGTGGATTAAGACATCTTCAGCGCTCAAATTTACTTTGCTGTTTGAAGGAAGAAGCTAGCTTAGCTTCGGAAGATGATAAGTACGCTGCTCTATCTACAGCTGAGCGCTTAACATCCAATTAAATCGTAAGAGCGGAATCGCGATTTAGCTTCAGAAACCCAAAAAGAATACAGGACGAGGTCGCCTTCTCTCCAGAATCTTGATATCATAACTCGATTTCTTTTTGTTACGGCCGTGATCGTCCAAGATATATTGGTAGCAGCCCCGCCTTAAGGACTGCACACGTTACTTGTATAGGCAGGCTAAGTGCATTAGCAATCTATTTTACCACTAATTATACATAATTTAAAAAACTTCTGGTATCGGCGTGTTGCATTTGTCCATCTCGACTTTCGGCAATAGCGTTGCGCTCTCGACGTGTGATGCATAATCTCTTTGAAATGAAATCTGTGATTCTGCTACGATGCGTAGTCGGGCTTCTATTAAAAAATTAAATTGGGTCGACAGCTCCTTCCGAACTACTTACAAGTGGTGCCAAAAAAACTCTGCCTAAACTATGAAACGAAGACATGGCCTATAGAGGCATGCACTGCGATATTCAGCGCAAATTAAATAAGTGAGAGCAATAGTGCTGTCTCACTGCGCATGTCTTCGGAGGGTTTCATTCACCGTGCGATTAGTGCAATCCATCTGGCCATATGTCGGCAAATGGTCAGCGATAAGCAGGTTTACCCTGATGCAGAACACCGTGAATATTGTTTGCCAAAACTATGTCTAAGCGCGTGCCTCTATCCAATGCAATAGCGGCTAACAAGCCATGTCAGCGACTCAATTCTATCGCAACTATGCTGCTTTATTTTCCCCGGTTCATGAATCGCTGTCAGCACCTCGATGAACCATCTTGCTCGAGCGGTCAACAAAGACCACATCACCTGTATGACTGGACTCACTTATGGAAGACCGTTATAATGTCTGCATCAATGATTTGCTAAGACATTCTAAAAACGTCAAGATAGCTAGATTCACCAACGCGTATGTCTTAATTGAATGCTTTGGAATGTTGAAGTGCGCATATATATATGCTTGTACCATATTCATGTTGGGCCACCATTACATTGCGCTGACAGAACTGTATATTGTTTTTCGATTAAAGTGTCCACCCAAAGGGAAATCAGGTGCCTCATACAGTATTCTGTACTTGGGGTCCTTCTCACGAGTCAACAGTTCATGTTGACTGTCAAGTGGATCAATCCTGTGATACGGCGAATCATAGAATACGATGTATAAAGGTGAAAATGTGCGTTCAGGGGCTTTGTTATCACCGCATTTGAGCAAAAATCTTTACTCTTAAACATTTTAGCTGTGCAACACATGTTACTTCTGACCCGTACGCTCCATGTTCGAACTCATCAATTTGCGTATCCCCATTTTTGAGATAAAATAATCAACAGTCGCAACGACGCGAAAGCGCACCTGCCACAACATCAGACCAGTTTAGACATTATATCTGGCAAAGAAAGATAACAACCAAACTATTCGCTGTGAAAAACTTGGTGACGACGTCGCTGTGCGTAACAGTGTATGATCCGTATCGATCATAAAAGGCTTAGAGCCAAGCAAATGTATCCCTTACATATCAGGGCATACTTCATTGCAAGTAGCCTCGTGTCGTGAACAGGTATATTCTCTTATGCAACTTCAAACTCTCGATACTCAAAAGAAATCGGTTGCTCAGGCCCAGCTGCATCTGCTTGAAGTACACACATTCTATGAAAAAGGCTGAAGCGTCAAAGGCGGCATGAAATGACCGATCTGAGTTCGGAGGAGCTAGATGCATTATGTATTGCTGCAAAGCCTTGGCAGGCGCATCCAGTGCTACATCCAGCATCATTTTCTAAGGAGTTTGATGAGGGATTTGCCATGTTGGCTTCATTCGGAGCTGCTCCAAGCATTTAGAGTTGTCAACTCCGTCAGCATCATTAATATCGATAGAGTGATTTTTGTTTTATCTTTTGGTAGGATTGTTGATGTTTAATGGATCACCACCAAATCGCAAACAATCAATTGTGGTTTTATATTTGGCATTAGGAAGATATGCATTTGCTTGCAAATGCTGGTGACCGAACATGACGGTTGGACGAGAGAAAATGCGAATACTGCATTGAAACTGTTCGAAGGGTATTTGAAATATCATGACGTATGATGAACCGAGGGAAAATTTCGTGTTCGATGATCCTGCTCACGTCGTGTTCTTGCGTCCTAAGTTGAGTTGAAGACAGCGTGACGAGTTTGAAAGAATATAAGTATCAAAGCTCCAAACACTATTCGCACACCTGCACCAGCTTTTCGTTGTGAGTTTCGTTGTGCATTCTCCATACAGTGAGGTTGATAACACGGTGCCTTCATCACAAACATCTCTTTAAACTCGGCAGAAATTGTTTTGAGCTACTAGCAGGTCAGGAGAATAGATTGAATTATGATTGTGAATGAATTTGACATCTGATGTAAAATAGTTGAGCTACCATAAGATACGTAAGTTCGAAACTGATTTGATCTATTCCACACAAACATTTTTTAGGCTTGTCGTACACATCACATAAAACTTGGGCATCATGTGGCTTAATTGCCAACAGAAACGATCTTTATCAGTGATACAATCTGCATGTTGTGCTGCATTGCTTGATCTTTTAAGGATAGCATGCAAAAATAAATGATTGGAACCTTAAAAACCAGTTTTTATATCGGTAAATTTCTGTAAGTGGTGATCATGTGTAAAGTTTGTATATGTAGAAGATCTCTATAGAAAACGCCTGCTGGTCTCAAGTGCAGTATCGCGTCGCGCACAGCAAGTTAGATACATGGCTATCTATCTACCTCTTGACATTCTCGTTATTTTAAAGCTTCTCGGATGAAGTCGCGCATTGTTGTTCAGTCAAACATACACTTAAACTAAAGGTATTCCCTTAGCGTTTTAAACAGAGAATCATCATAATGTATTCTATAGAGGATTGATTGCAATGATTCTACTATTGATGAAGTCAGGTTAAACTTGGTTGCTTTTATTTATAATAAAATCTTTGTGATTGCTGTCACAGGTTTGACTTCAGTAAACTACAGACGTTGTGAACCAGAATTGCTGCAACATTACACTCGTTTGTCAGCTACAGATTCATATAGCATTTCAAGCATTCACAACTAACTGGCCATCGCGTCTCATCCAATTGCAATCGGTTGTTTGCGATACTAGCGTATAATTTGTGGCTCGCGAGCAGCAACACAACGTCGCGTTTTGCACTCCTAATTTCTAATCTCGAAAATTAAATCAGCCAGTCAGAAGGAAGACATCACGACAAAATTGGCTCATGCATCATTCTTTGTTCATGTAGATCGATGCTTCGAGAAAATCGTTCCCACTTTAGCTCATCATTTTGTATACTCTATATATCTTTGCACTCTCCATTCTTACGAGTTCTTCTACACCGACACATGTACCTTATCTTTGCAGCAAACTTTCATGTGTTTTATGCGAACGAGCGGATGAGGGTTCTCGTATAATTCGTCAATCACATAACTGACGCACATTTTTATGCTACTGTAGTTTGTGGTTATGATGACTAGCCTCACAAAATAATCAAACAGCCCATAGGATCGCACTGTTAGTAATTCGAACTGGACGTTTTCAATCGACAATACATAGCAATTGTGACGACAGTTGACTATTTCTGCTTGAAGCAATAAGGAAGTTTTGATGCGTTTGTACTCGTTCTTCATCCTTTTCGTATTGAAGTTATACACGAGCATTGCTCCTAGAGTGGAGGCGAACCAATTAGAAAACTCTGGTGTCGAACCAGTCTCTGAACCTATCACATTTGCTGCGAACGAGAGCGAGGATGACCCAGAAGTAGCTGGACAATCTCTAGACAATAAGAGAAAAGGCACAATCGCCACTCATAGCGTCACAAACGAAGAGAGAAATGGAGCGAATATGAGATTATATCCAGAAGAGGTAAAAAGTTTCAACTTATTGTCTAACAGTCAACTGATACTAGACGGGAAACAAGTGGGTCTCGCGCGCATTGAAGAACTTCTGGCAGAGCGATCAGGAAAGGGCATTGCCCTAAGAAACAGCAAGGTGTCTCGTGTAAAAGACTTGTTTCGGTCCAAGAAAGCTTTAAATGCAGCAGAAAAGAAAGCTGCGGCAAAACATCAAGCAAAGGTGGATACACTGCTTGGGTCTATTCTTACGAAAATCAATCCAGATGTTGATAAAAAGAACGTATTTGATCCTGTTACGTTTTTCAGCAAGTTGCGCTTCACACACGCAGACCTCAACGGTGGCCTGATTACTGCTTGGCTTAAGTACTTCTATAGGCACAAAATCGAAGGCTCTCAATCTGGCGAAATGGATCCCATTCTTGTCAAGTATGAAGCTTTCGATATGCTCATGAAAATTGGTGAAACGAAAGCGGAAGACCTGATTTCTTTGTTTCAAAGAGCAGCATCTGCATCTGACACGAAGTATAAGTCCTTCTGTGAGAGTATGCATGATCTGGCTCAACGAGAGAGCCAATCAAGTATTTTTTTTGCTCGAAAAGGCTCGAACACCCCTGAGGATTTCTACAAGGAGTTAAATATTAAGGCTCCTGGAGCGAATCTGGTTTTTTTTCAGTGGCTCAGATATTGCCAACGTTACGAACAGGGTTTAAAGGACACCGTTGATGCCGAGATTGTTTATGGCTCAGTGGCGAACAAACTGTTAGAAGATAAATCTTACAATCAAATCGCGAAGCTAATGAAATCACTCAGTAAGGTGCAAAGTTACGAGAAGGTGGCAAATGATATCGAATTAGCTACGCGAATGCAAAAAGCAAAAAGAATGGTTGACAAGGGATATACACCGGAAATCGTTTATAATGATTTTTTTCCAGATGGCACGAACCCTGCTGAACACACGGACAATTTTTTTCTGCTGCTTGAATTTGCCGAAGTGTATAAAGCCAAGAATGGGTATACAACAGAGAACCTGGTTACATTGTTAACAAAGAAGAGCGATGAAGGTCAATACTTGATGATGGATGCTCATCTGCTTGAGAAGGCTGAGAGTTGGAGCTCTCCGAAAGTCAAGGAAACTGTCAATGAGGCTCTGGAGCTGATTTTTCAGATGATGTCAACGAAGCATTTCAAATTGTCTGAATATGCTCATTGGTACAACTCAGACAAGTATTTTCCGAATTTATTGCAAAAGTATTACGATTACGTGGCGAAAAAGTAAGCGCGGATGCCGATTATGGAGTCAACTTCGACTTGATATAATAAAAATCGACTAGTCTCGTTTCGACCACTTCCACGAGAGTCAAATCAACTTGGTAAGGATTTGCGTGATTATTTTACTGATTTTTGTATGTCCATCGAGCGTTTGCTGTAGCGAATTTTCATGCTCAATTGCGTTGTAGGTCATTAACTAGCAAAAGTCATCAAGTCAATTGATCAATTTTGTTGTATCTTCCTGGTAAATCTTTACTTCGTAGCTGACTGCGTGAATACTTGACTTCGGGCCAAGAATACTGGAAAAAATCGAAATGGACGATTCTACCTTTTGGATCAATGTAAGTCCGACAAATTGTCCACCGAGATTTTCCAGGTCTGAAGAACAACTGCGTGAACTCCGCACATCACAAATGAAGCGACATTTAGACAAACTCACGTGTGATGTAAGGACTCCTTGAAAGTAAGGGCCACAACGCAACAAGCCGATGAACGGAGCAGCCTCGTGCCAACACTTAAGAACATATTACAGATCCAATGAACACGGTAAGCTTTGTATTACTTTCTCTTGATATAAGCCACCGCATCAAATAAATGCTGTTGTCATGGCATCATCGATCTGCTACCACAAAAGCAAATTGTATCACGACATATTACCACCAGACCGAAATCGACATAGACGCGTATCTAAAATAATCCTTGACGACCTCTTTCATGAGTTCGTGATTTTATTCGGATAGAAACACTTTTATTTCTGCAATTGTGTACAATTACTAGTGCTAATTATTGACTCGTCGTCATCGCCGCATTCGTCACCACCGGGATCGTCATACGACCGATAGTCTATCTAAAATAAAGCAAAATCGTCAAAATTTAGCTTTTTATACCATATGACTAAAACATCACATCAGACCAACCTTATGTTTGGTGTGTTCACGGTACCTGGCCAACTCATGGTGTATGGTAGGGGAAAGCGGATGTTCCGATGTTTGAAAAGCTGCAGCAGAGATAGAACCATTAATCCACGGATGATCCAACACTTGTTTCATGCTAAATCGATCATCTGGATCGAGCACCAACAAGTGCCGCACGAGGTCTTTCGCTTCGTTGCTAATAGTCGCCCAGCCATCATCATCAAACTCAAATTTGCAAGATTTAATACTTGCAATCATTTCATTATCTGAACGGTCGCCTTCCGGATCAAATGGATGGTAGCCACACAATAAAATGTACAAGATCGTTCCTAAACTCCACGAGTCCACCTTATCATCATATCCAAATGTTGATCCAGACCCCGAGATCATTTCGGGTGCTGAATATCCCCAAGTACCACATTTTGTCTTTAAATTTGTTCCTGCGAAAATCTTGGCCAATCCAAAGTCCGCGACTTTAACAACAGCATTATGGTCATCGGAATTCGACAGCAAAATATTTTCTGGCTTTAAGTCCCGATGCACGATGCCACACCTGTAATGTACGAAGCAATATTAGAAGGCACAAATCCAAGAGCTCACTTTTTCTTACATACTCGTGTAAATACTGCACAGCTCGTGCCATATCGCGCACATGACGCACACAATCTTCCTCTGAGTATGCTCCTTTTTCCGCCAATCTTTCAAATAGTTCGCCCCCAGTACAGAGCTCTAATACCAAGTGCACCTCGCGCGCTGTTTCAAACACGTCAATGAGCTCTACAATGTTCGGATGCCGCTTTACACGACGCAATGCCATAATCTCAGCGCGCAGTCTTTTTGGGTCCGTCATGAACCGCTTGATCTTTTTAATAGCAACAGCGCGGTTTGTACGACGGCAACGACCACGACAAACCGTTGCGTAGTGACCACTACATTAAAATGTAACACAAAAGTCACATTATACGCCTGATGAAAGATCTAACGCCACAAATAACTAACAAAACGATTGCGTACCGCCCTAAAAGTTCAGTCTGCACTTCGTATAACTCTTCTATCCGACGATTTGAGATTGCAAAGCTTGACATGGCATTTTTACTTAAACTGGAAGTTTCTTGCACTTCAGCAGATGCTAAAGTCTCGAAGCTGCTTGTATTGTCAATATTTAGTTCTGGTGGAAGGCTAAGAACGTTGTTGCCGGGCAATACTGTGTCTGACATGACAGACGTCTGATTGCCCATGCATTCACCCCTTTGAAGAGACGTATAATCAATCACCTCTAAATGTATATTA